AAAGAGTCTGGATGACATTCCTACTCCATGATATTTGAATTCATAATATGAATAATCACTCTGTGTCACAGGCTGTAGGGAAAAGCAGTTTTCTGGGCACCACAATGGAAACAATCATGCACTGTAGATTAACCAAATCCAAAACTGTATCTTGTGTGCAGGTCTTCTGGTGAACCTAAAACTACATTTAACACAGAGTCAGGAATCTCCTAATTAATGAAGAAATGAGTTGAGGGAGGGGAAGGAGTTGGTAAATACCTGTTTGCAAAAAAATAAACATTTTCCTGGGAGCTTTCACAACTTGATCAAACCTTTGTGAACAAAGATCTGGACCACAGAGATAATTTCTCAGTCAGTGATAAAATTATTTTTATATTCTGGAGTAAATAAGTCAGAAAGAGACTTCAGGATTCATTGTTGAAGTTTTAAAATGGGAAACTATCAAAAAAACAGATCTGAATGCATAACTGGTCATATGTCAGTTGGATGGTATAAACAGCAACCTGGGAAAAAGCTATCTTGCTCTGGAAGTATCCCAGTAACTGCACAGGGTTACTGCTCTAGCAATATTTTATGCAATTCGTAATATAAATAAAGTGATATGAAAAAGTCTGTTGTCACAGATATAAACGCTTCAATCTACCAAGCTCTATAATTATTTTTCATTCATTAAATTAGGGCCAAATCAAAATGTCTTGCTCAAGAGCTGAAGAAGAGAAATATTTCAATAAATGGGTTTTTTTTCTGTCTTCAGCACATTCAAAAATCTGCAGACGCTAATTTCTAGTAAGTGGTACAATGAAAGTCAGTGGAACAAAAACACTTTACAAAACAAAGAAACCAGACAAACCGTAGGTCTTTTCTGTTTCCTTACGGACATAGACAGATTTCTGAATGACAGTGACTGCAAAAAGATTGGTCTGGTTTTATAAATCACCTGAAAACCAAAGCAAATATGATCCTTAAAAGGACAAGTCCTATCAAAGAGTGACAAATCAGTTTTGAATAGAACCTCAAAATGTGACTCTCATTGAAACACCACCAGAGTTCAGTGAGAGCATACTCAGACTGAACGTTCTGAAAAGGAATGTAAGTAGAATACATATCTGTTGCGTAAGCACTTTAATGAGTCTTACTTTAAGCCTTGTTGATCTGGCTTGGGCAAAATACACCATCAGACTACATCAGCAGGTACAGAAGTGGAGCAAGCTAATCCTGGAACAGACGCCTTTATACCAAGCACTGCTTTGAATTTTGCAGAAACTTACTTTGTGGACTGCATGAATGCTAAACCAATTTTTTTTACTTCAGAAAAAGATGGTTGCAACTAGGATACAGGTTTACATCACTTTAATGACAATGTTTACAGGTAAATATTTTCTTTTTGTACTAGTGCACTTAGGCTGTATAGAACACGTCACAGCTGTCTGTCCAGACTGCTTGCTTGTACTTGTGTGGTATTTATTAAGTGCCAAGGAACAGGAAAGAAATTTCTAACTAAAGGTGTGTATGAAAAGTGTAATTAGGATAACAGTTCTATATCGGTTTAGTAGAAATGAAAATTGGAGGTGTTTAGTAGAAAGCAGGCTTGAAAAATTGCTTTTGTCATTCTGCTTTGGTAAGAAAAGCTTTTCTGCTAAATTTGAGGCAGATAGTTTAAGAGATTAATAGGTAGAGAACAGCTACCCTGTAGTAGTAGTAGGTAAAACAAAGTGACAAAGCTATGAGTGCTGTTTTCGAACAGTCAAAGGGGCTGCTTCACCTCTGTTTTGAATGAAACTTTGTAGGAGGAAGAAATACTTATTACCTATAGAAATAGGATAAAAAATATTCTCAATATATTTTCCTATATTCACCTATATTTTCATATATAGGTGGGCATGTAACATATTTAGAAGAGAAAATGCTGAATGACTTCATTTTAAAAATACAAATACGTTTAGCTGAGCAAATGTATGCAACTCTGAAAAAACCAGTTCCTCACAGTTGCTTTTCAGAATTCATATTTTTACATGCTATCTTCTCCTCCAACCTGAGCTATTTGAACTGCTTATACAGCTCTATAAATATTGGCTAATCCTTTTATCTAGAGTGCTTTTATCTTGAGTGACAGTGGTCTTTGCTTGCATAGCAGTTGGCAGATAACAAGCAGTATCAACCACCCAGCTTGTAAGAACGGCTGATTTATTTATTCCTGATATGAAAAAAATGTTTTGCTTACTTTTTGCTGACCTATATTTATGTTTCCGTTTCTGTTAATCCTTTCATGAAATATCAGCCATTTGAATCTGTGTTTATATGTATGTACAAACAGTATGTATATAGGTACCTCCAAAATCATTATTTCACAACATGTTATAGATGTAATTACTTAAAAAATAAGCATTTGTATTCTGACACTGAAACACTTACGAAATTGCACGTAATGAAGTCATGCTGTGAAAGTCACTTTGCAGTTAGAAACTGATGTTTTCACATTCTATGGGAAAATAACACACCAAAAATAGCGTGTCTCCATTTTAAAAACTGCTGCTATGTCTTTGTTAGACACCAATATTCGTGTTATAAAAGTGTTATCTAAATTTAAAGACAGAAAGGTATACGATTTCCAAACAAGTTTAGCACATTCATTTAAACTTCTCATTAATTTTACTTCTAGTTTGGTGAGGTAGAGAATGACACAGACACTGAACTTTGCATTGGGCTTGGTCCATGCATGTTTCAGCTGCCTGTGGACAAGTCCCTCCTATAGCGTGCAGCTCAGAGCATGGGCTGCAGGCAGAAGTGCTGCCTTGCCGGGGCTTGGAATACTGAACAAATGCATGCAGAGTGGAACATGCAGCAGTAGAGTTGCTGGGCAGGCACCACTGCATGCCATTCACTTGGTTGATCTTTTTAAATGGTGGGTTTATATTTTTTGTCTATGAAAGGTTTAACAGTAGCCCCCAGTCTATAAATCCTTACATTCATTCTGATCACTCTGAGGCTCAATAGCAAACCTAAGTACCAACATGATCCTAGTGCTTTTAGGAATTAGTTTTTCTCTCTGACACAAAAACCCAATGAGACCCATATTTCTACAGCTGTCACAGTAAGACCGAGCAGTCTACAAGACCTGTGGACACATTGCTCTGGATGTCAAAGCAGGAGATGTACTAAAACATTGACTGAAACAGGAAACAGCTCACGGTGACTTCACTTTTCATATACCAGAGCAGTAAAAGCAGGACAAGTCGCTAACACAGAAATTGCCATAAACCGGGCAAAGCAGGCATTGTTCTGGCCCCCAGTCAGAACAGGTTTGGGAAGTGCACATCACTTTGGGAAAGTCAGTCCTGATGATTCATATTTCTGCCAGATGCCACTACACATTAAGGTATACAGACATCTCATGTTGGAATAAATATAAGCCTGGCTGGAAAGCAGAGAGACTGCTGCGGTATAACCCTGCTGTCAGACCAGGGAGGGCACGGTGGTGTTTGATACTCTGAGGCTTCAAGCGGAAACTGTGTGTTGTAATAAAAGAGAACACTGTAATGAGGAAGATCTCTGCTAAGAGGGCCTTTTACATATGTGCTGTGACCACTTCACTTTGCCTAATCTTTAAAACAATCTCAGCCAACTCTGAGTTCCCTTCTGGCTCTCTCATAACTTACCTCTCTCTAAGATGGGTCTAGTTACAGCTGTGATTGAATAAAGTGGACAGGCAGGGAATTAGCCTTCGTAGATAAATTTATCTGCTTCTATCTGAATCTATTCGTTGTGGCTGAATGCTGCTCTGTAATTTTCCATGAAAAAATGACTATATTTTGCTATAAAAATAAAAGCTCTGTGAATCTGTAAGTAAAATTAGGTGTGGTGCCTAGTACCTGGCTATGGCTCTGTGAGCCTCATCTTACCCACTGAGGTAACCTGCAGGAACCTCATATGGTGAGCGAGCAAGAAGATGCTGAAGGCAATTCTGCTGCAGGGACAGACATCATTGTGCTTATAAATTACTTTATGCTGTTGAGAATTTGCAGTTATCTTTCAAGCTACTATTTCATATTCTTATCTAGAACAGTGCAAATATTAAGGGTTGTACTTTGCATAAGTTTTCAAAAAAGCAGTTGGATATATTTTGAATGCTTTCAAGACAAGAAAGATGTTTTCTCCGATTCATTTCACACTTACTAGCACAACAACACATCATCAGTAGAGTAAAACTAACCTGTCTCACGATGGTCTAAACCCAGCTCACGTTCCCTATTAGTGGGTGAACAATCCAAGTGCTCCCGAGAAAAGTTACTATAGTTATCATTTTGTAGATGGTCAGTAGTCCAGATTAATAAGATGATGAGCAAACAGATTTGTCTTCCTTTGTGCAGCCTGACCCAGTATACGTACTTGGGTCACAACCTATCAAATCGCAGTGAAGGTAAGATGAGGAGCTCTACTTTTATCCTGTATACCAAAAGCCAAGCACCATCTGAGAGAAAAGGAAGTAGGAGGCAGCATCACTCATGCTTTGATTGCCATCCCTGGGGTATTTGGAGAGATGATTTGTTCCTCTTTTCTTACTTTACAGTTTGAAAATAGTAGGGGTAAAGAATGTTCCACTGGAGATACACAATACCAGGAATATTTTTCTGGATCACATTGGTTCAGATCCCTCCAACTGCTTCTCTCACGTCCTTCTTGTCTCAGTCTGAGATATAACTGATGGGCCAGAAGTCACCTCTGCTTTTCTTTTTCTTTAGGAGATATGAGATCTATTGTTCATTTGTGAAAAACTACAGTATGCATCTACTCCTGAAATGTGACAACTGCACATTCATTGTGGATGTGGTGCATCTTAGCCAGATCTCTGATAGAATGCAGGGTCAAGCTCCAGCACCTCCCTGCTCAATCTGTGAATTTCATTCTTAAGTTAAAGATGATTTAACAGAGCACACGTTCTTAAAAACACCGTTCTGGGCTCTAGTTGCTCAATCCAGAATCTCCAATTCTTTGTTCTTTAGGTATTCACTGTGATGAAGACATCAATGAATGTCACATGAACCCTTGCCAAAATGGTGGCATCTGTGAGAACTTTCCTGGGAATTACACTTGCCATTGCCCACCTGCAGACAAAGAAGGGATTTTTTACGGCGGCTGGAACTGCACAGAAATCCTCCATGGCTGTACTGATCAACAATGCCAAAATAATGGAATATGTATCCCACATTTAAAAAATGGCCATCATGGATTCAGCTGCATATGCTCACCTGGATATACTGGAATACACTGTGAAACTGTAACTACATTTTCTTTTCAAGGAAATGGTTTCCTTTGGTTGAAGAATCCCACAACCACTAAAGAGGAATTTTCCTATAATATAAACCTGAGGTTTCAGACTGTGCAACCGTCAGCCTTTCTATTTTATCGAGGAGAGAAAGACACATTTGTGAAGCTGGAGTTACTGAATGGCTACTTACATTTGTCCGTGCAAGTCAAAAACCAGCCACGGGCTCTTTTGCATATTTCACATAATGTCAGTGATGGAGAATGGCATTCTGTGGAGGTAACCTTGGCAAGAGCTGTTACTCTTAATTTACTTGACAGCTCTTGTGCAGAATCATGTGTCAATAAAACTTCTGCTATGATAGATAATGATCACGTGAGGCTTGCATTTCAGAGCACATTTTTGGGCAGCTTACCAGTGGGGAACATTAGCAGCAGCTCTCAGCTTAACATCAGTAATATACATTCTACACCTTCATTTGTAGGCTGTCTTCAGGATATTGAAATAGACTTGAGTGTTATTACTCCAGAGAATGCATCACCTGAATCCTCTTTAAACGTCGAGACAGGATGCAGGAAGAAGGACTGGTGTGAAAACCACCCCTGCCAGAACAGGGGCCGCTGTTCCAACCTGTGGCTGAGTTACCACTGTGACTGCTACCGGCCGTACGCGGGGCCGAGCTGCAGAGCAGGTAAGAGCATGTGATGCCGTCAACACTGTCAGGGGGTGTTGAAAACATAACCTGGCCTCGGGGGTGAGCCAGCATGACCCTAGGGATCTCTGGAACTTATTGCCCACCGGTAAGAAGGCACAAGGGGTTAGCAGTAGCACATGCTCATTATTTTCTAGTTATTTTCCAAGAAGGCTGCTTTTCAGCTTGACAAGAAGTCAGGCCAAACTGGGGGATTCTACTCATCCAGTTTTTAAATCTTCTTAGCACTCTTAGCACTCCATAAACTCTGGAAAACTGAAGTTCACAGGAGGTTATGCACTCCGAGTAAAATTTAGAAAGCAACCGAGTCACTTGGAGTCGAAGTCTTATTTTCAAAGCATTCTTTCAGAATTTTATCCTCTCTAGGCTGACATAAAGAAACTCATTTAAGGCCATGAAAGGCCAGCAAAGCACTGCAAGTTAAAAAAAAATACATACAGATTCCAATTTTACAAAATGAACAAGATTATCCTATTAACTTAATCTGATTAGCCTGAGGAGAATCCAGGTCCTCGGAGGCCGTTCCTTCTCAGCCAGGTCCTGCACAGCTCCGGGCAGTGACTAACGACGGTCAGTGACTAACGAGGGCTGTGCTACCAGAGAACTGCTGAGGGCCAGAGGGAGACGTGCCCATGTGTTAGCGAGCAGAAGAGCACATGTCAGAACACAGCCTCTTTGGCAGTGAAGCAGGGATTCAATAGCTGGCAGTGCCTGTAGCGCATTTCCTGCTACAAGTGATCGTTCTAAGCACGGGCTGAGACAAAGCGGGAGGACACCAGCAGGTCCCCTGCTATCCCACATCTGTGCTGGAGCAGCAGCAAGTAGCCCTCTGGAGCTGAATAAAGCACATCTCAGGAGCACCAACAGTGCTGTGGTCAGATGAGAACAAACAGACTGTACTGGTGTGGGCTGGCACAGCCAGGACAGTCCACTGCCTTACCGCAGCTGAATGGCTGGGCCCAGGGGCTTGCCGGAGGCACTGCTGCAGAAAGCTGTGGCTTGAAATGCACTTCAAAATGTTTAAAGACAGTTTCATTTTGTATGCTATACTTGATAGGTATCAATACTTTTCAATAGCGTTTTTTTCCCTTATTGCAAAATGACAAAGTCTGAGAGGTAATTGTAACAGACTTCTTTGAAGTCTAGCTGTAATTTATCCAAAGGTTTGGAAAGCAACTTTGGAGTATAGGACAACATCTGGTAAATATGTTGGCCTTCTTATATGAAGTGAAATTAAAACCAGTCAGGGCCAGGAGAGGCTTACGCTGGCATTACAACTGTTCAGAATGATTAGAAAGCCAGCTTTTTTTTTTTTTTTTTTTTCCTCTCTGCTGACCACAGCATTCTTTGCAATGTGTGGCACCATGCCACTTTGATACATAGGTTCTAGATATACACCATTTTTAAAAGATTGTGGCAGGTAGCTTAAAAAGCAGAATGGGGGAGACGTGTGGCAAAGGATAACATAAGAAATGCTAGCATCTTTTTGAAGAAAAGTTGCTGCCAAGTATTTAATTGACAAGAGGCAATATTTTCTGTACATACACAAAATAACAAACAGATGTTGACTCATTTTGATCAGCATCCAGATGTTGCGACCCAAGAGGTTAATGCTAACCAAGGTGATGCTAGCCATCTCATCAAGCAGAAGATCAGACTGATGATATATATATGTATATATATATATCATCTGTATATATACGTATTTATAAATAGAAATACAACAAAATGATTGCAAACATGAAATACCTTTTTGAGAACTAACGGTAACTAATTCCAGCAGAAATTTTATTTTTATCTACATGAAAACATAGTTCAGTCTGTAGAATGACCTTATCAAGAGGGTATATCTGAAGAAGCTTCATGCCTCAAAACACCCGTTGCAACAAATAATTATTTCTATAGGCCAGACTTTTCAACACATAGATTTAGAAACAGAGGTAATGTTACTCTTAGTACTAAAATTTTTGAAATTTGATTTATGAAACTGTTTATGAACAACGAAGGGATTTATTGCTTCCAAATAAATGCCAAATAATACTACTGTGCCACATGGTAGTGCAGTGTGATTATTAAAGGTCTGCTAGGATCTTCACATTCAGCACCCTATTTTCATGGCTTTTTTTAATGTAGTCAATTAAAAAAAGTACTGCTGCAGGCAGCAATTTGACCTATGAGGTCTCACTCGAGGAGTTTTACAGTGCAAAAGGGAACTGACTGTTCAGCTGTGTGAGTATTTTAAAAAAAAAAAAAGCTTGGTTTATTCTTTCTATGAATTTGATATATTAAAAAATCGCTCTTGAAAGTGTTTAGGCAGGAAGTCTATAATACCAAGGACAAGATCATGAAACGTGAAGTATAAAAATAGAAACACTTTGTTGTGCTTTAACGAGATGATTCATCAGAATAAAATACGCTTTGGACTACATATTTTATATCCTTACGAGTCTGAAAATCATTACTGAAAATAAAGAGTAAGGCAGAGACAGATGGTTTTGGTTTAATCATTTTAATTGATAAGCCCAAAAAAATAAAAAGGCTCACTCAATCCTAGCTCATTTTTCCCCATGACACAGTAGCATTATAAGCACTCAGAAGTGAGCAGAACTCATATTAGAACTTACTGAGTCTGTTGAAAAACCTGTGCAAGACAAAATAGGTGTGCTATCTTAAGTGTTATACAAGAGGGTTGTGCTAAGCAGCTTCTGACAATACAACATAAAAAATCAAGTTTTGATTCAAAAGATTTGAACTCTTGAAGTTCAAGAATTATGTAAACTTCCCTTGTCATCAGAGAATCAAAGGAACTAGCTTCTTTTCTAAATGATTTTTCTGATGACCAATCCTGGAAAATGTAGAAATTTGTCCTTCTTAAACTGTTTGCAAACACAGTATCGCATGGAGCTTGATAAAGGGGAAAATTGTGCACAATAATATAACATCTGGTCCTGTACTGGGGCCTAATGTTACAGCCATGGAAGCTGACAGGAGTTTTGGAATAGAAGCTATTTATGGCCAGAACAAGTCTTTATTCATCCATAAATACCAGCACATCTTACTGCCATAAGTAAAGTATATAATCAGAAGTAGCTATTTGATCATTATACTGGTTCCTTTGTCATTTAGCCCTGACTATTCTATTTTTCCTCTTCCTTTCCCTTTTCACCTTTTCTCCTGTTGCTAATCCCAAGAGTATATTCCAGGTCGATTTGGATCTGAGGACTCCTCAGGCTATGCTGCTTTTTCTGTTGGTGCTACTGAGAATGAAAATCTGAATATATCAATGTTTGTCCGAACTCGCAAATCTTCTGGCTTGTTACTGGCTTTGAGAAACAGTACCTGTCTCTATGTAAGAGTCTACTTGGAAGATGGGAAACTCACAATGTTAGCTCCAAATTCCATGAAGCTATTAGGGAAACATCCTATAAATGATGGAAATTTCTACCTAATAACATTAAAAATAGAACCAAATATGTTGGAATTATTCCAATCCTCTCAATACTTAGGCTTTATTTCTACTCCACTACTAACCACCCAAAGTAAGGACTTTCTTTACATCGGAGGCCTACCAGATAACAGAGAAACTGATAGAAATGGTGGGTATTTCAAAGGCTGCATCCAGGATGTAAGAGCGAATAACCAGCCGCTGGAATTCTTCCCCCTCACCAATTCACTGAATTCTTTTATCAACCGAACCCTGATCAACGTCACCCAAGGCTGCAGTGGTGACAATCTCTGCAAGGTAAGAATGACATTTGCATTTCATTTTCATGTTTTTGTCGTGGGGAATTAAAAGACAAAACAAAACAAAACAAAAAAACAACGTAATTTTTTGTACAATATGTAATGATAATGTCTTAGCAAAATATGTAAAAATGCTAGAAAGAGCAGATTTTGATATGTTTTGGTATAGCAAAGTAATGATAAATATGATGGATAGTATCAGCAAAATGTACTGGCATAGAAGAAAATGAAAATATTTTAAGGTTGCAATACTATTGTTCACAAATTATTAAAATGTTCTGTGCGGTCTTAGTACTAATTGCTTTCCATTGGATATAAACAGAATTTTCCTTCTCGACAAAAAGTCTACATTCCTAGAGTTGTGAGTCCACCAAGATTGATTCACGCTTTGGTTATCTCTTCTCTTTCCCCATAGTCCAGTCCTTGCCACAATGGTGGTGTATGCTATTCAATCTGGGATGACTTCACTTGCACATGCCCCCCTAACACCGCAGGAAAAGCTTGTGAGGAAGTTAAGTGGTGTGAGCTTGGTCCCTGCCCTCATGAAGCACAATGCAAGCTGGTGCACCAAGGATTTGAATGTAGGTAAATTTCAGTTATTCCTGTCATTTTTGGAAATTAGAAACAATTGATCAGTATTTCTTAAAACTAAATATTCACTTATTTAAAAATTCAGTGGTATTTCTATATTGTGTAGGTTGCTCCCAATGTAATGCCTCCTATTTTATTTTCATGGAAATGACAACAGCTACAAAGAGGATAGTAACAGAGGATAGTAACAGTATTTAACAGAGCAAATTCTTGCCCACAAAGCACCATTCTGCAACACAGTCACCATCAGTAGCTGTGAATTTTCACCAGTGATGAACAAGAGCCTGCATGATGCACTTGTGAAAATCTGTACCAGTTGAGGTGACCCACTGTCACTGCCACCACTGCTGAAATGCACCACCACTTCATTGCACTCTCATCAACTGTTTGGTCTCCATAAATGTTCAGCAAACATCAGTGAATGTCAGTAGGTGCCATTTTTTCCCTGCATGGAAGAATTCAGGGACACACCTTTGCTTCCTAAACACTTCCATATCAGATGCCATTTTGTCTGACTTCCTCTCTGCTGCTGTCTGTTGCACAGAAAAAAAAAAAAAAAAAATGTAATGGGATGTGGGCAGGAAGTTTCAACCTCTACAGTGATATTACCAATATCTGCCTCTGACATCACTAGCAAAAGGAATAAAATAAGAGGCATTACTTTCGGAGCAGCCCCGTATAATAACAGAAATAAAAATAACAATTGTAAGTTCTATTAATGAGAATATCCTGGCATATCAGCATCAGAAATTTTCAACTAGACCCAACGATGCAGGCACTGATGTTTACATAACCTTTGCTTTTGACATATCCACGAGAGCATGCCAAAGTTGTAGAACAGATTGCTACCTTGCCTGACTGTAAGGGTACCCTACATCCCTGCACTGCAAAGAGATAAGACAACATGCAGTGTTGGATCAACTTAGGATGTTCTCCATCCTCCTGAAGATAAAAGCTACATTACATAAATTGCATCACTTGATATTCTGCAATGTTTAATACCTTTGTAGAAAGTCACCTTAACACCAGCTGTACGGTTATTAAATTAGTATCTTGGCAAGAAGCAGCATGCCAAGTGGTCTATTTGTTTGAAAACTGATAGCCATTAACTGACTGAACATTAGCCAGCCTGCACATCTTTCCTTCTCTTTCTTTCTCCTTACCACCCTGAACTGGAGGAGAATATAACAAGCAAGTAGGGATTTTGAAGCCACATTTTCTCTTTTTGCTAACAAAGTCCAAACGATGCTATGAAGGAAGAGAAATATACACAGAGTCAGCTAGAATGGTTGATTCTTAGGAATGAGAAGGTTCGTCACCAGAAGATTACTATCGTGGGCAATTTGCATGCAGATCAATATGGTGCTGATTTCACTGAGATAGTTAGAATCAGCACTGCAGCACTTGTAAATATTTACAGCTGTAATTAAAATAATTATGCCTTCTCAAATACACATATTTAATGCTGGCATCAAATATGTTCTCTCAAAATTCGCTTTTGCATTTTAGGAAAACGTGAACTCCAACTATACAAAAAAAATCAGAGCAACAAACCAAAGCCTAATCATAAAACACACACACAAACACACACACACAAATCACACAAGAAGAAACAGAGAGAAAGCTTCTACAAGAAGCTGATGCAGGGAGAGTCTAATAACAACAAAAACTTATACTCAGTGGCACAAATGACGGTAAAAACTTCTTCCCAAATACTATCTAGAGAACATTGGTACAGTTACATTAAGTCAAATTTGTCTACGTTTGTAAGCCTGTGTAAAGCAATTGAGCACCTAAGGCAAACCAGTGCAGCACCACTGGCTGGTAACCTGGTCTTTAACTATTATTTCTTTGCTAAGTGCTTATTCTGGGCTACCCTCATAAGAAGAAGCAAGGTTCAACTGTTATCTACGCTTGCGTACTTAGATCAGCTCACTGGTTTTAGTAGACCTACTTCTGATTTACACTACAGTAAATAAGGCCAGAGTCATTGGGTCAGGGTCACTGTCCCCCTTCCCTCATTAAAGGGAAAAGAGCTGGAAGCTGTATGATTAGGATTTCAGGTAGCACTGCTCTGTAATCTCTGCAGCCATAAGAGGCAAGGATAACTGGGATACTGATGGAATTGAATTGCTTTTTAGTAGAAACAAAAGGATTTAAGTGATAGGGATCATGGAATCTTCATCTCTCTGAAGAGATACTGTCCAGGTGGACTGGTTTAAAGCTGGCCTGGTTTCTCAATTATTATCTTTGCACAGGTCTCACTAATGCAGTGTTTAGCGGCCGAAGCAGCGCTATATTTTACAGAAGCAACGGGAAAATCAGCAGAAGCCTCACCAATATCGTGTTTGGCTTTCGAACTAGGGACACAAATGTGATACTGCTGTATGCGGAGAAGGAGCCTGAATTTGTTATCATCAGCATTCACAACTCCAAACTGGTCTTCCAACTGCAAAGTGGCAACAACTTTTACATGTTGACTCTCACTAGCTCATTGACTGTGAGTGATGGGAAGTGGCACCAAGTAATGGTCTCCATGCTGGAGCCCCTGTCTCAGTTCTCAAGGTGGCACATGAACCTTGACAACAAGGACACTGCAACCAGTACAGCTGCTACAGGAAGTCTCAACTTTCTACGAGAGGAGGCAGATATCCATGTGGCTGACAAGGCTTTTGACAATTTGGATGGCCTGCAAGGATGCATGAGCACCATAGAGATTAGTGGAATTTATCTCTCCTACTTTGAAAATGCTGATGTCCTGACTAAAAAACCTCAAGAGGAACAATTTCTCAAAATATCTGCAAACCCTGTTCTTACGGGCTGCTTGCAGGAGGATGCCTGCAGCTCAGAGCCCTGTATGCACAGGGGGAGATGTGAAGACTTGTACACCTCCTATCGCTGCATGTGTCCCCCGGGGTGGGCAGGCACCCATTGCGAGACCAACATCGACGAGTGCTTCTCCAACCCCTGCATTCATGGAAACTGCACGGATGGGATCAGCTCTTATGAGTGTGTCTGTGAACCCGGCTACACAGGGTTGAACTGTGAAGAGGACATAGACTACTGCCGTGGCCACCAGTGTGCAAATGGGGCCACCTGCATAGATGGGATTAATGGATATTCATGTCTGTGTGCTGGTAACTTTACTGGAAAGCTTTGCAGGTAATACAGACTAGGTAGGTCCACATGAATTTTTTCAGGTCTCACCTGAGATTGTTATACTACTGATGCTTCCATTTTAATGCACATCTAATAAACTGCACATTACAGACCTGTACATTATAAGATACGCATCTAGTTATATACTAACTGTGGCTGTACAATTGATGTAAAAAGTCTGCAGTACAGAAAGCCATAGAGATCAGTTAGATATGGACAAAGAGAGTGGAAAAGCACCAGACAGGTTTCAGAGAGGTGGGGAGCAAGACAGAGCTCTGCTGCCAGCCTGAAACATATAACTCCTCACTGTCAGCATTACAAGTCAGCTGGACAGCTGAGGTAGATGCATTGCAAGGATTTTGAAAATGTTTTGAATCTCTGAAACTATGTTTTATAAGAATAACAGCAAACCAGTGAAAGTCTTAGTGGGTGGGTAAGACAAACAAGTAGAAAAGAGTTTGTAAAAAACTTTTTTTCCCCACCCATAGCATGTTTGTTAGGCGTGTCTTTTCCTTCTAGGCTTCTCTCAGCCCAGCAGTTCTGCTGGCTGTGGCACCACACTGCCCACTCTATGCATCACATCTGCTGATCTCATTGTACTGCTTACAGTTCCTCCCAGACAATCCACTTTGAGGGGAGCAAGCCCTCCCTTCACTTACCCTTCTCTTCTCACTGTATGTTTCTCCCTTCTGAGAGGGCAAAGATATTAAACAGCTAATTTCTACAGCTACCACAGCTAAGAATCTCTTTCCTCTAATTTAATTTTTAAGTGAAAGTCCCTAAACAATTATACCTTTTTATATTCTTACCTACTACCAGCAGTTAGTTATTTTCATCATACAGTCATGTTGGTCTGAATGTAAGGATTTTTTTTTTTTTAAGAGATTAGATTCAAGAAAAAGTGTTAGTTTTTCAAACATCCTTCTACTCTTTGCAGCCACATGCTGCAACGTGACACCCAAGCTGTTGTGACCCTGGGGTTGGTGGCAGAACTTAGTGCATCCTTGAGAAAGCAACTTCAAATTCAGGTAGTTAAGTAAGTGGACCCAAACACACTGTGCAGTCCTAGACACCAGCTCTGCCTTTGTGTAGTGTTGGCACCCACCCTCCACAGCCCATCCCTCACCATGCAGGCATGGCCAGCCCCAGACACCTGCCTGTGAGTGCACACAGGCACGGGGTTTTCCTACGAAGGAGAGAACCAGGGAAGCAACAAGTTGTGTGTGTATCTCCAGAACTGTGTGGTCATCCACGGGTAAAATAAGATGCCTCCCCTGTTTGCACTGGATGGCATTTGCCAACAGGAGCGCAGCTCTCACTGTTCAGATACTAGCAGTGGTAAGTTCTGCATTCAAACAACAAATTTGCAAGGTAGATCTAAACATTTTCCGCTAACGCAATGGACTAGACTCAGGAAAAGTGAGAACACGGCATTCAGAAGTGAACAAGGAGAGAGCAAATAACAGCTGTCATTGCCTTTCTATTTATCCAGGTATCGAAGATTACCCTATACAGTTTGTGGGAATGAAGACAGAAATCTCACCTGTTACAATTATGGCAACTGTACTGATCTTGGAGGCAAGCTGGCCTGCATGTGCCTGCCAGGATTTGTAGGAGAACGGTGAGATGCTTCACTTTATGGAACAGTTCTTACAAAAGTCATTCCAAGGGTTTGCCATCCATAGGGAAATTACTCTCCTACAGAAATACAGAAAAAGCTGGTTGTCAAGTGTAGTAGTTTGTTGCCCGAGGGCCTGAAAGTATAACAGTCTTACTTAGGCAAAAATTACAAATTAGCTCAAGAGGGGTCAGTCCAGTACAGCACCACTAATGCCAGTACAAGCCTTTATTTCTTAGTGAGTGTTGTACAACTCCTGCTCTTTGGATTCAATGCCAAAGTTGTATGAGGCACACTGGAATGTTATTTTTCTGTATATCTATAGGCACACATAAACATGTATATCCTATTCAAACATGTATAAAAATTAGCCAGAATACATGCTGACCCATAAATAAGCCAAGCTGTCCTATTTTCACATGTATCCATTGTAAATAAACAATCTATTCTCCTACAGGGATAAAATGATGTGAAATATGTGGAAGTGTTATTTTCTTTACCGAATGCCAAAATATGAAAAAAGAATTATTATTTGAAATAAAAGTTGAGAAATAATACTTACATATTATAGTATGAAATAGAAGGGGACATCCCAATTTGTATCTTGTAGCAGTTTGCTGCATGATTTCTTACCACTTGTTGATTCTCTACAAACACCTCTGCAGCAGGGAGGTCTGAAGGTCTCAGTGCATAAGGTGTTGTAAAAACATAAGAGGACATCATCCCAGTCATAGTATGGCCTGAAGTAATGGCAAATTTCTAAATAGTAAGAAAAGGTACACAGGACATAAACAGAAAACTAATGACTTTCGCTTGCAGTGCAATTAACATTACATCAGAGTGCAATATCCAAACATTCAGCAGGACCAAGCTGTGCTGGCTTTGCAAACACAAAGCAGTGTTTCAACAAATAGTTTTCATTCTTTCAAAATCTGCTTAATTCACTGACTTCGTGGAACCTGCACAGTAAACCAAAAAGGACAGATGAAATGAAAATTTCCACCCACTCATTGCACAATGTAGTTGGCTGACACATCTGCGCTGTACTCTTTAACTCAGCCAGAAGGCCTGCATGCCACACTAAAAAAAAAAAAAAAAAAAAAAAAAGCTAAAGAAATAAAATAATAAAATAATGAAAACATGTTCTCAGGCATTTCTTCAGTGTGTACTTTTTTCAGGACTTCAAGACAAGTCAAAGTGCTTTTTCCTTCTTCCTTCCCCTGCCAGGCAACTTGCTAAAAGCAGCTCTGGGAATGAGCCTTGCTTACATCCTCTCCACTGGCTGGCAATAATGTCTATTTTATAGTTCCCGTGATCCTCATACTGAGTAGCAGCCTTGCACCAATCGTACTGCACTATAACTGACAATCAGAGCAAGGCATTCTTCTCAAATGTCTAAAATTGACTATTTGTCCTCTTTTCCTCCAGGCTGACACATCTTAAACCAGGAATATTTCTGTTTGCAGAACTTAATACATAAGAAAAAAAATTTTCACCTCAATCAGTTAACATTTTTTCAGAATAATTTCAAATGTATCAGTTAACATGAAAATTCAAAACAAAACCCTTCAATCTATTTATTGATTAGAATAGTAAAGCAGGCATTTTGGCTTCAAGGCAGTATTTCATCCCTAAGAAAACTAATGATGTACAATTTAAAAAAAAAAAAAAGGGGGTGTACTTCTATGTCATTCAGTTGACTTGGGATTACAAGGAAAAAAATAGCAAATAATAAGGGGAAAGGAAAGCTTGAAAAGATTAAATAAAAGAAAATGTAGCTGTGTCTTCTATTTCACTGAAATCAGACAGTTTTCAAAATCACCAAAGAGAGTGAGGTTTAAAAGTCTTCCTGTACTTTGTTTTTCAGTTTTGCATGGGGAAGTTCATAGCTATATAATTTTTATGGATTTAATTAATACTTAATTTTCAGCTTTCTGATGTATGTAAAAATGTAGTTTATTAATCCATGGAACTTTTTCATGGATTAATAAAGAAAACCAGCTAAGCGTTTAATGCAAAGAGCAGCACATCTCTAATGTAACACTTAACAACATCTTGAGTGCTAGTGGATATAATTAAACAAAACAATTCCTGGAAATTTTCTGTGAATTTCACACGTCCTACTTCGATAGTAAATGTGATTCTTAATCTGCAAAAACACAGTATTGACCATTATCAGTACTTGAAAAAATGAAGGCAGGGAATTCAGGGGAAGCTTCGTCAGGACAGAGAATCACCAAATTGTTACCAGTTTTTAAACAGTTGCAAATGCTTTTTATTAACGGTTGTTGCCTTAAGAAATTATTAGAACTTAAATTTCCTTTCTCATCAGAATTACTGAAAAGCATATAATGATAAAAATTTAAGCTTTTAAAAACCATATTCTGCAACTGCCTTTCTTAACATTCTCAGTGCCCACACCCTCTCAGAGAGTCCTTATAGGAGATAGTGCTGGACATCTACTGACACTTCAAATTGAGAAAAGAAATGGGTGAACATTCCCAGGGGCATTCAGTTGTGAAATAATGTGCTTTTGTTTCACTTAGATCTAAATTATCGAGAAGGAAATTGTGCCCTCAGCTTGCAGTAACGATGAAAATGGACCAGCAAGTGCTCAGCAGGACTTGTGCTGTATCCAGCTCTAAAACCACACACCAGCTTTCATTTCACTTTGCTAAGCGCCGTTAACCAGGAAATGCTCCACAGAAATGAAATTTCTGGCTTAACTATCTATGTTTGAAAGTAACACAGGAAGTTCAAGATTTAAGAGAGGATAATCAAGTCATTAATAAGATTCTCTGAAGACCACAAACACATGTGGAAATATACTACAGATTTCAAATGGAGCAGCCCCCTCATTAAAAGTTTCTGAGTTAAAAATGTGCCAGTTTTATGCATTTTGTACCTGATTTCAGGATCTCACTTTTTTGCACTCTTCTCTGTAGGTGTGAAAAGGACATTGATGAGTGCAGCTCTGATCCATGCCTGAATGGAGGCCTCTGCCAGAACCTGCTCAACAAATTCCACTGCCTCTGCGACGTGAACTATGCTGGGGACCGCTGTGAGATCGATGTAAGCGACCTCTCCTTCTTTGTCTCTTTACTGTTGTGGCAGAATCTCTTTCAGCTTCTCTCCTATCTTATTTTGAGAATGGATGATGATCCAGCAGTCGAGTGGGGTGACCAGGAAGACTATTAGCAACCCTTTGACTCTTGGTTTAGCAAAACAGAAGATGCCTTGACCAAAGAGCTTAGCAAAGCAATGCAAGCATCTGAGTTTGAAAAATCATTTTATATGTTTTTTGAACTTATGTGAAACATTCAGTTTTATACAAATGTTCTTCAACTCTCGTTGTAACGTGGAAGCAAATCCTTCAGTAATATCATGTTACTTTATAATATATAAGAAAGTGAATGATGGGAACTTTGTGATGCAATGCTCAGGTCCGAGTTCTTACCTGTTTGATGAACTACTTTGGATCTGTGTTAGTGCTTTCACTTCTTCATATTAGAACAAGCGCTAGCAAATCTTAAAAAGTGTTTCAACCCCACATCAATAGACCATTTCACTACATGCACGCTGTCAGCACAAACAGTGGAGGAGATCAGAAAGTAAGACATAACAAGGGGAACTTTAAGATACACCTGTGGTAGCATTCAAGCACTATGCAATGACTGGCAAAGGTTTGTTGCCCTCAGAGAGGTTAATTTTACCATTAAATCTTACTGGTGTCACTATCTCTGCACCACATAATACTTTCATTGCTAGTTTTTGGCCATTTGGTCTCCCACATGCGATACCAAGTATGGTGCTTTTGGATAAATAACATTATGGATTAGCAATGGGGCCCCTTGTACATCCACTTAGTTTAGTGGCAATCCTGCACCTCTGCTCCATTAGCCTCTACACCTCCAGTGCATCACTCTGAGATAAATTGTGGCTATCTCATTTTTCATTAGAATTCCTCTGTCAAGTAAGGCCCAGGAAGTATATTAGATTTTGAAATTACAAATTTGCTGTATTTTCCAAAGATTTCTTCAAATTTCAGAAAGTCTCTCTGTCAGTAGGTAGACTCAATAGACTAAAGTACAACCTTTTGTTCCTTCACATGAAGTAACCAAGGTACTTCAGTTGAGTGGCTGTACATGGATTCTTTAAATAATGAAAATTATGAACACTGGGAGATTTAGAAAAAAAAAAAAAAAAAAAGGAAAGAAAAAATGTAGGAAATGTAAAATATCTGAATTTGTGGATGCCTTTGGGAGAGTCAACATAAATGAAGGACACTGCTAAATATAAAACAACAGTGAAAGTGATTTTTTCTGAACAATGCTTCAATGCAAAAAGCAGTTGTGAACTGTGCAAATATTTCTCTGGGCACTGATGATCGTATTATATTTGTATATATTCCATACTCCTTTTAGCCATCTAAAATAGAGATCTCAAATGATAGTGGCATGTAGCAAAGTTATAGGAAAGATTAGAGTTATTTGAAGAGGTTTTGTGACTCCAGAGAGTGATAAGTGATATGTTAAGGTTCTCATTTTGCTACAGTAAAATGCAGCAGAAGTCATTGCCTGAGAATCAAGCCTCTCTTTTATTTCTCATCTTTCAGAAGTGTCCCCAGATTGATTTTTTTTTTAACTTCATTCCAAGCATAATTGCAGCAACACTGGTATTATTAAATAAGGTTCCTATTTTCAGAAAACCCTCACATTCTTTTGTGCATTTGCAGCAAATACAATGATTCATCCCTGTGAAATGCCACACATTCCTGTATTGAGCATTTGCCTTAGTATGAAAACTTAAGCACAATATAGTAATATGATAACAGCTACATTTATTAGGATAATATCTTTGTTATATTTATCTTAAAAAGTGATTTGGGTAGTTTTTGTGTTTATTGCTCTTTACAAAAAAAAGTGCTGTTCACATGAAAGGTCCTTCCCTCTTTATAAGCAAGTAATTAACGTTGAAGAAAGCTAGAAAAAGTACATGTATTAACTCTATGCCTGACAAGCAATAGCTATCATTGCAGCATGCAAACCAACAAATATATCTGTATGGAGATTCCAAAACTTCTTCTATTCAATACCAGAAATGTGATGACTGCACAAAAGTTTTAAATGGATTTAAAGGAACATGTGAGCTTTCACGTACATTTAGAGTTTGTTACCTGCAGAGCAGCAGTTCAGTCTTTGAGTACATGCTACACAAATATTGTCTGTTCTTGCAATTTAATTCTTTCCTTCCTCTAATGCCTTGTCATCATGAAACATCTCCTGACTTCAGCTGTGCTCCTCTCCCCTCTATATTTCCATATGTTCAACTACATCATGTACGTGTACAGAACTTTCCTGTCATTGCACAAAATAAACCTTCTGCCTTTGTCTCTATGTCTGCTTCTCATTTCCTGCTGACAGCTCTGTCCATTTGCTTCAAGTGTGTTGTTTCTTCTGATATTACCACCTTACACACACCAGCAGAGGCTGCATTTCCCCATTGCTCTGCAGTAGTGCTGGCAGTGCCCGGGGCAGCTGTTCAGCTGCCAGTGCCTCCCCAGCTGCAGCTCTGTTATGTGTCCAAGGGCAGTTGCATAGCACAACCCAACTGACAAGACCCAAATCAGCAACTCAGAGAAGGAGCGCTTAAAGGGTCTGCAGGGCTCAAAGTGACTCTTATTACCTGCTTTCTCCTTTTGTACTGTCAATACTTACAAAACTGCTGGGTGTTGGAAAGCCTCTGCTAACATTCTGACAGGTCATTTCTTCCCTTTGAGTTACATCATAGCCTATAAGCTGGTTCTGACCTGTGCACAGATCTCTAGTTGAGAACGGACTTCATATTTCTAGTTTATAACATTAAACAGAAAAAGGAAACAAATTCCAGATTAATTAAAATTATTTTTTGGAATATATACTTTCACAGAAAGAGAAGCCATTTTAAAGGAAGCAGCTTTAGAAACAAAAATGAAAAAAAGCTTTGCTAAGCACTAGTTTTTTGTAAGTACATCCAATTGCAAAGATTTTTTAGGATCTAAGAGCTTAAAGATTTTAATGTTTAATATTGAGATATAGCAGCAAGATCTTCATAGATGAATGGAAGCAAACAAGCAAGTTCACTGTATTGGGAGGCATGGCTTGTGATTATGAACATTGACACTAGCAGTAATGGATCCCTCTATTTTGATGCTAAGGTTCAAATGTTTTTTCATCTCAGTAACTGTCATTCATAAATACGGGCAGTGAGAAGTAACAGTGATAGAGCTTGAAGAAAAAAGAAAGATTTCTGAAAAGAGAGGAAAGATAGCAGTGGTTGAGGTACTAAAAGGGGAAGCAAAAGTATCTACATCAGCTGTGGGAGGAGCAAAAGGGTATTCTTTAACAAGTGAGGGAAACCAAGGAGCAGTATTGCACTGGGGAAGTGTGCATAGAGAATGGAAAACTTAGAATTGCTGTACTGACTATAGTTCTTACTTCTGACCCTTAAAAAAACAGGTTCTGAGTGATGCTCCTCTGCTACTGCAATTCAAGTTCTGCCAGTAGCATTCTGTCTTAGCCAAAAAGAACCCAAGTGTTTGTGAAAGAATCCTTGATGCTGAATGCTTATTGAATTCTTTTAGTCCCAGATAATTTAATTTTTAAGAAACTAGATTCAATACACAGTTTGCTCAGTGCTATATGCTATGTGACTATAATAAGTTAGTGAAACAAAAAATATAAAAAAATATGCTTCAAACTCACAGTGAATTAAATCAGGTTTCCTTTTTTTTTTTTTTTCCTTTTTTTTTTTTTTCCCCATTGCAAATATTTTCCCTGGCCTGACACCCAGAGGTCCAGCTGGACGGACGCTCTAGTTCTCTAAATCATCTTTTAGCTCCTGAACTAATTTTTGCAGTTTGATGTAATGATTTTCCCTATAAATGTTTGCAATGAAAAGTTCTTCAAAATACTACCTCAAGAACCACTGGTTACTATAACCTGAAAAAATAGCCACAAAAAAACTCCAGCAGGACATCATTCTGTAACACTTAGACAACTATTACCTGCAATACATCTTCAGAGAGTAAAATAAAATAAATGGAAAGTTTGTGATCCTTTTACTTTGTGTTTCAGGAGTACTATGAGGTCCCATTAGGCCCCAAAGCCCATTCTGCCTGTGCTGTGCATAGCAAAAGGCATCCCTATGCTGACTGGCAAACAGCTCAGGATGTACTTTAAAATTGTTTTTTGAGCATTATCATCAGCTGCACCTTTGGGACAGCACTTCCTCACAAAGCATACCCTCTCCTATTGTACTTGTGAATATACATGAATATTGAAAGCAGTGCTAGATTTCACATCCCAGAATACAAGTTCTGCTAATGCTATGTTCTCTGATGTGTGCTGCTGTTGCTTCCAGCTGGTATCATTTGATCCTCCAGGGCACAAGGACAAGCGTCATGCACTGCAGGTTACAATTCACATTTAGTGTCATTAAAAATACACTGATAAGCATGTAAAGTATGTTCAATATTGAATCTGAATTCAGTAAAGCTCTCTCAGGCTTCCATAGAACAGGCACACAGAATTTTGATTGAATTGGCACTGCAGCAATTAGCTAATGTATTCATTAACTACAAGGCTTAGTAATGTGAACGTAGCAAACGATACTTAATTACAATAATTAAAGCCTAGTGATTCATGAATAATGCATTCTCTAACTATTTACTTATTCATCCTTGTGAAGCCATTAATGGATAATGATCATTCAAATAAAAGACATGGACATCAGGAATGTAATACCAAGACTAGTTTTTCTCAGTCTCACCATAGCTTTACCTGTTTGCCTTACGTACTTCTTCCTTGCCAATAGCCACAGAGATGGAAAGTATTTGAAGAGCTATAGAGGAATACCATCACAAATAGAGCCATACTGTCTAGTTCTCAGTCAGTACTCAGTCAGTTCTCAGTCAGTACTCTCATCAGGCTTGGAGAAGGTCCAAAGAGTCACATCATGCCAGAAATACAGGATAGATTTTGTTTTGTTTTTAAGTCATACTCACGTGCGATTATTTTGAGGCAGCATTATCA